CTTCCTAGGCAAAAGAAGTCACACTGTTGTCAGTTCCTCTGGTATGACACATTTTTGGTTTTCTTTATCATCTTTGGCTTTCCCTGTACTTGCTGCCTTTTTAACGTGGAATACCAAAACTGCAGAGAATACTTGACAGTTTGCTCTTTAACAGTTTTTGCAGCCGTTAAAAAATGGACGATTTCTGAAGTTTTGAACAAAATGCAAATAATGGTCAGGTGCACTAAAATGATCAAGGGGATTCCATAAAACACAGAGAAATGAGGAAAAAATCATAATGGAAGAAAAGTCACAAAGATCAGTTTTACTAGTCTTCAAATTTCAACCATCACGGTGTATTTCGAGACTTGTTTTGAAAGTCTGTAGCTTCATGAGTACAGTGCCAGGATAGCTGTCTAACAGTTTAAATTTTAATTTGCAAGTGGGGTCTTAGGCATATGAATGTGTTGCTTATTTTCCTGTCCATGTCTTGCAGGCAAGTCTTATCTATGGCTCTGTTTTTCTCTTTTTTTCCCCCACAAGCTTTTGTCATAATTTAAAAAGAACAAAAATATCATTATTGGTGTTTTTGTTAGATGGTTCTGGTGAAATGTCTACAGTAAATTGCACTTTCCAAACAATTAATGCTACTTAGGTGCATGCTTTCTGTATGTAAGAAATCTAAATAGTTTTCGTAACTGGAAAAAATCAGCTCACTAAAAATAGGAATGTGCAACCCTAAATGTAATGTTTGTGAAAAACCAAGAAAGTCAGTCAATACTTTAGGTGTCTGAAAGAGTAGTTTTAAGGACTGGGGTTTACTGAACTGGAGTCATGTCTCTTTAATATAACTAGAAGAATCTGACTGATGGGGGGGGTAACTTGTTTTTTCTTCTTCCCTGCTTCATCAGAATGACTGCCTTTTGCATGATTAAACTTTTATGTCAAGCAACCAGAAATGAGAACAGATACACAAAAAGATTCTTCAGTACGCTTCTGACACAAACCCTACAAAAGAGGGTCTTTTCTAGGGTCAGGTACCACCATCCAGAATGGAGAAAGTCAATTCTGTTTAGACTTACTCAGCCATTTTGTACAGATGAAAAATCTCACACAGAAACAAAAAGTAAAGCAGCATTTGGAAGTGTTGGGCGAAGAATTCCCCATCGGATTTTGCACTTAATCAACCAGGATGGAGAGAGCTTAGGAAATATGCACCGAGCCGAGGCACTCAGACTTATGGACGAACATGACTTGAAACTAGTTCTCCTTCATGAGAATGCAGACCCTCCTGTATACAGACTAATGACTGGGCAGCAGATTCATGAAGAACAGCTTAAACGCGCAGAGAAGAAAAAAGCAAGTCCAAAACCAGGTATGTACATTGTTGACATTACAACACTGTGCACTTCGAAAAATGCTGTATAAAAGTGGTTTGTGCAGATGAAATCTTATTTGTATTTGTGTAAATTCAAAGCAATGTCACTGCAGTCCATGCTATTAAGGATTTACAGTGGTGAAAATCAAGTTTTGGATTAGTCTAGTCTTCCACAGAGAAGCCTTCTATTGCCTTCTCAGGATTTACTATATTGGCATCTGCTAGCTTTTTTAAAAAATCTATTATGCTGTATTAAAAGTGGTTTGTGCAGATGAAATCATCTTATTTGTATTTGTGTAAATCCAAAGCAATGTCACTGCAGTCCATGCTATTAAGGATTTACAGTGGTGAAAATCAAGTTTTGGATTAGTCTAGTCTTCCACAGAGAAGCCTTCTATTGCCTTCTCAGGATTTACTATATTGGCATCTGCTAGCTTTTTTAAAAAATCTATTTAAAATCTATGTAAGTGGATATAAGTAGACTCTGGTTCCATCAGAGTCAGTGAATTTCTGTTCTTTTGCTAAGGCACAGAATGATAGGCAGTTTGTACAAACAGAGCACCAGAAACACCAATATAATTTTGTCACCAGTAGGCATTCCTAGATTGCCTCTAGAAAAACAAAGTTTAGAGCCCTTTCTTATACAGAGAACAACTTTTTCAATAATGAACACTTTTCAATGTTTTAAGTCAGCCTGCTCCAGCAGTTTAACAAACTGAGTTTGGCAAAGAGGTTTTGGAAAAGGCATCTGACCTTGTATCCTCTTTTCTTATCCTCAAGCTAATGAAAGTATCTGTGCTTTGGGTAGAGTTCTGATTTTAGAGGAGAGCACTATTGAGGTAGTGAGTCTTTCTGTTAAAGAAACTATAGAAAGATTATTCAAATGGTCACTACTTTAGAAAATCTGTAAGGAGGAAGAGACCATAAATTTTTCAAATATATTACAAGGCATCATACTTCCAATTGAATATGGCACTTCACCATTCAAGAAAATGGGCTTGAGATGAAGACCTAACTTCAAAGCTTTTAAATTCAGCTATGCTATCTGCAGAATGTAGGAATTTGCACACCAAGTCTTTAATTCCAATGCTTACCTGTTTATCTTTGTTAGACCTGTGTTATGGGTGGTATGAACTAAACCATAATCAAAATAAGAATACTTTAAGCCTTCTGACCCATAAGAGACTTCCCTGTGTGCCTCAAACATGCACTCAAGTCTTGCAGTTACAGCAGCAAGTGTGAGATATCAAGTGACACCTTCTAAGTGGTGCATGCTGAGACAATGAGATTGGAATACTCTGTGTATGAGAAAGCAGCATGGGGGAAGAGAGTTAAGCAGACAAAGTACCATAAGCTATTGAAAGACAACAGCTGATACAGGTTTGTCAGATGTTAAACCAACATAGTTTTAGTTCTATTTTAAACAGGGGTGGTTCAGAAGGAGTTATCCTTTTCTTCAGCTATCGCCAAGAATGACTTAGAGACGAAGACTAAACAGATAGCCCAGTGGATTGAAAAGAAATACAATGTTAAGGTTACCATCCGGCAAGCACGAAATAGCAATACAGACATGGTAAGTGGACTCCTGAAAGTGGGACCAATCCATCTCAGGAAATAAGTCTACTATTCAGTACTGCCACGTTTTCAGTATTATCATGTACTGCTAAAATAAGTGAAGGTCTAGGTCCCATGAAAGTAATAGTTGCCCCACCTAAGCTCCATCTATTCAAATCCTGCAGTTCTAGAAAAATAGTCTGATAGAGACAATTCAAATACCACGCTTTCTTAGGAATGCAGTTATAACACTGGCTTTGACAGCAGACTCTGAGAAGTTCCTATTCCTTTGCAGCACCACTTTATTGACTGGGCTGGTGAAGTTTTCCTATCTATGCTTTAAGCCAGCTCACTCACTGAAAAGTTTTAACAGGAAGGTTTAAAAAAACCTGCTATATTATAGATGGTTTATTTCAATAACCTAACTGTTCTTCTGAAGATGCATTTATGCAACTGTGGCTAAGGTCAGTTTTCTACTGCTGTGTGGAACGATGTTCCACAACTGGCTAAGTAAACATCTATAAAGATGTTTGGGAGCTGGTGCAACTTGCTAGTATAATTGTAGGACCTTGAGACTTGTCTTCATTGTCACTTGCACAAATGGCTTTTTAATAAAGATTCCATGTAAGATTTTTTTCTTCCTTTTAATGTGTGTGTAGTGAACTAGGTTTCCTTGATGATGCTCTCTACTAAATTGATGGAAAAAATTGTGATATCACTTCATCCAAAAGGAACAAAACTTTTTATAGGAAGCTGAATTCACAGGGAAAGGGCAGCAGGAGGAAGAACTGCATACGGGAGGGAGCAGAACATTTCATTACACAGTCCAGCTTTAGGTTGTCCTTAAATTTAGGAGCTTAATTATGAGCTCAAGAGTTCAGCGTGTTATATGAATGCACTGTATCACTCAGTTCAATACTACCACGTTCTGCTAACTTTGGAAAAATACTGCCCCGTAAGAGGAAAGCCCCATATTAATACGCCCGAATCTAGTGGAAGAGGTGGGTGGGGAGGAGTCCTATGCAGTCCACTTCCATGGACACCTTTAAACAGCAAAACAGGCTAAGTCAGGAATTCAGCCTAAGTGTTAAAGAATGGCTTAATCCCTCTGCTGACTTTCCTAAACCAGCTTATGAGTAAAGAACAAATGGTTAGGAAAGGACAAGCTGAACTGCTCAAACCAGGACTAGCAACTACCTGGTTTTACCTAATAGCTAAACCACAAGCAGGAGATACTGTCATTACCGCAGAGCCTGAAATATTTTTCTACATGTGTTTGTGCATTTAGTCCCTGTTTTTCTCCTTCTTTTCAGTTCATGCTTTTTGATCAGATTTTGGAGACTGTCTCTGACAAAGCCACTTATCTTTCCAAGCCAAAAGTTACTAGAGAAGGAGTGAGTACCTGTACTTTGAGACACATGTCTGACAAAGAGTTGAAAGCACACCAGAAGATGGAAAAAGAGAAACACAGTACAATAAAGAAGAATGAAAATGAAGATCTGAAGTCAAGTGAGTTGCATCAGTGACTTTATGAAGAGGTATAAACAATAGAAATTTCTTATTTAAAAAAAGACTATGAACCTAATAAAGTTATTGTTGAGCTTTGCACTGGTCATTCCATGAAAAAAGTTGTCTCGGGTAATGCTTACTGCAGAGTGAGAATTTCAACAGTTGGTATTTCATTTTCCATAGACTTATCCATTGCCTTGCTTTCTGTCACAACCCCATCCTTTCCTGGCTGTGCTTTAGGAGGAATGTAGCCGCTCAGACGAGAGGCTAAGCTTCTCTTAGGACGAGAATGCTTTGCCTGGCAAAAATAAATCCAGAATGAGCAACTAATTAGCAACTCTCTATGGAGCAAAGGCTACCTGGCGGGGTGGGGGAAGAAATCCATTAATAGGCCAGCACTGCGTTATTTAAAGGAGCTTCAGAAACTAAGAATCTCCCAAATTAAGTAGATAGCTGGGCTGTTTTCCTGCTTGAAGTCACATTCTAAAACACAAAGTTTACCCTCCTCTGAAGTGACAGGGTAGGATTGAAAGGACTTTTTCAAGAGTATAACTTACTTTCAAGTTCAGCTTTCTCTTTTCAGGATCATGTACAACCTTGTGCCTTGCTAGGCTCTGCTACAGTTACAAAGATCAGGAAGAAAGAAAAAAAAGAGTTAGGTTTATCATTCTACATTATGTGATTCAGATTAGGACAGTTTAAAAATATTTACCTTCATTGCAAACACTCTTCCACAGCCTGGATAATCACAAGAGAATGGTTTTTTCTCTTCATGAAAAGAGAGGATATGGCTTTGAAGGTTAAATACAGTTGTGTAAGTTCTCCCGCATCCTTCTCTTGGGCAGCGGCAGACTTCCCTCTCCCCAGCGTGCGTTTTTTGATGCTGCTTGAGGTAATCTTTCCGTTTAAAAGTTTTGTAACACTCACTGCAAACTATTGTTTCTGAGTGGGAAAGAGACAGGCACATTACAAATTAACAGCTTCTTACAGGAGCTCAGAATTAAAACCTAGCAGTCCTCTAGAACAATGCTAAGATCCACATGAAATTCAAGGAAGTCAGACAGTGGAAGATAATAATGCAGTATTAATTATCCCGATCTGAAATCCTACATTATACAATTTTCCATTAATTGGATTACAAAGCAAAGTTAGTATACTAAGCAGCATTTTAATCAGTTCAAGGTCTAGCCAGTGACAACCATTTTACCAATAAAGCGTTAATAAACAAGTTTGTCTAGACACAAGGACAAATCGATGCAATGAATTCCAGCAAGGCCTTTTCAAATTAGCATTTGTTTTCTATTTGTATCAAAAGTTAAGTTATATTTACTGAAGCATTTGGAGTGTACCTCTGTGACTTTCCTTATTATGTTTCAGAAGCTCTGTCCAAGTTTTTCCAGTGTATGAGCAGTTTTCTTTCTTGCATGCATAGCCTGTTGAACAGGACAGATGTTTACAATCACAAAGGTTTTGGCAAACACAGTCCAGTTTTACAAGGGGGAACTCCACCTTTAGTGTTTGAAAACTAAAGGGTAGTATTCCTTCTCTCCTCCTATACTGCACTGTGATGGGACAAGAGGCTTTGAACACAAATTAGCAACATGAGAAAATCCTAACAGGTTTAAGGAAGAAACCTTGTATCACCTACACAAGTTGTCCAGAGAGGCTTGTGGAATCCTTGTGCCTGGAAACATTCAAAACTTGACTAGATGCAGCCCTCAGCAACCTGGTCTAACTAACCCCGCCTTTGGCAGGTAGTTTGACCAGATGACCTCCAGAGGTCCTTTCCA